ATAAAATGGCGTATTTCTTGTATTTTGTTTAGATTTTTTAGTTTCCTCCTGTTATAAAGGGTTAAATTTATTATTAGTGCAATGGAAATGGCGTGAATGGAAGAGTAACAAGGCCGAATTGTTAACAACCGACATGGGATGACAAAATGGCGCCGAATTTGGACAAAGTTGTGGATTTACCTTGTCGATGGTTAAACAGGTATGATCTACTTGAAACCAAGTTGAAACTTGTTTAAAATGTTCTTGATACCATTATGTCTGAGATGATTTACATTTTTGTAGGATATCGACGAGATCGCTGATAAACAGCGGAGTAAAGTGGAGAACTTGGCCAAATACGTCCATTTGCAGGAGGTAGGCACATTTCAAATTATTATTTCGGTCAGAAAATATTAACTATTTTACACCAAACTAGTGATAATATATTTAAATAAGTACCAATTATGTTTCTATCAAAAAGATTTAGGGAAAAAGGTAATGTAAGTCCACTGCTGTTTATCTGAAGTTGTAAGCCACAAATTGACGTTTAACTATGATTATTGCATGGTCATTTTCTTGTGAAATATTAGTGCTAGGCATTTCACACTTACCAATGACCACCCCCAATAGTACCATCTCTGAACCATGTAAGCACCTCAGAATAGCCAAAGCTTTTATGGTTTGGTAGATAGCAGTATGGCGAAAGCGTCGTTTTTGGGTGTGGTCAGTTTCGGACGTTTCGTCCAGGATTGGGGTTCGGGCAGCGTTACCATGTTGACCGTCATGGTCAACTTGCCCTAAAACAGTTGAGATTATCTGTCCTAAATGAAATGCATACAAACTCATATGCAGGTCCTAGACTAAGTATGTTGACAAATATTTCACGAAAGGTTTAGAACATTTCCGGCCTGCAAAGATTTTTTGTTAAAATTTCCTGGCTGGCAGACATTTTCCAGTAGTGCATATGGATGTCACCTACATATCATTCTAATATTAATTGCCTGGTTGTTAAAATATTGAAGGTTTCACTTTTGTAGATGGAAATTTTGGGTGTAAATATTATACATTTATTTTAATAGACTGTATAACCAGCAACAGCTGCAAAAAAATGCAAGCATAAGCCCTCTGCAAGAGTCAAACCTTTGATCCAGCCATTCAGGTGCTGTGCTCTGACCAATTGCTGGTTTTTGATAAAATCTCACGAGTTTGTATAAAAATACAACTCACGATTTCTGCCACTCTTAATAGGGTTGGCAGTTCGGAGATAATGAGATTGTACCCTTTCTTCTTGTGAAATAAATAGCAATTAAAGTAATACATACCTTTCTTGATTTAATTTTTAAGTATTCTTGCGTTGGGAAGACTATATTCCGGGAATAAAGAGGCCAACGATCCTCATGAATATTTGCAACTATGGCGGAAGGAATGGAAGATTGGAATATTGCGTGGCCAAAATGACTAACGTCATTTTTTCTGTGCTGGTGTTGTGTACTCAGGTGAATAATATGATTGTGATGTTACTCTGAGTGCATATCCACACCGGGCGAGCTTGAAAAATATGCCCGGCCACGGTGGGATTCGAACCTACGACCTTTGGAATACCAGCCGAATGCTCTTCCAACTGAGCTACGCGGTCAGGACGGTACGAGTAAGTGATATTTCGGAACAGTATCTAGTTCCTTCAATACCAATGTGTTCTTGTAATATGAATTTTTTCTGTGCTGGTGTTGTGTACTCAGGTGAATAATATGATTGTGATGTTACTCTGAGTGCATATCCACACCGGGCGAGCTTGAAAAATATGCCCGGCCACGGTGGGATTCGAACCTACGACCTTTGGAATACTAGCCCAATGCTCTTCCAACTGAGCTACGCGGTCAGGACGGTTCGAGTAAGTGATATTTCGGAACAATATCTAGTTCCTTCAATATCAATGTGTTCTTGTAATATGAATTTTTTTTTTTCTGTGTTGATGTAGTGTACTCAGGTGAATAATATGATTGGGATGTTACTCTGAGTGCATATCCACACCGGGCGAGCTTGAAAAGTATGCCCGGCCACGGTGGGATTCGAACCTACGACCTTTGGAATACTAGCCCAATGCTCTTCCAACTGAGCTACGCGGTCAGGACGGTTCGAGTAAGTGATATTTCGGAACAGTATCTAGTTCCTTCAATACCAATGTGTTCTTGTAATATGAATTTTTTCTGTGCTGGTGTTGTGTACTCAGGTGAATAATATGTTTGTGATGTTACTCTGAGTGCATATCCACAACGGGCGAGCTTGAAAAATATGCCCATCACAAACATATTATTCACTTGAGTACACAACACCAGCACAGAAAAAAATCATATTACAAGAACGACATTGGTATTGAAGGAACTAGATACTGTTCCGAAATATCACTTACTCGAACCGTCCTGACCGCGTA